AGTGATATATAATAGAAAGTCTAAAAAAATAGTCTCTTTTTTGAGATTGGCAGTGGCTCGAGTTGCTATAACACTACTAGTGAATTGATTAAATATGTCGGTAACGAATATATAACCACTCTCAATAAACAATCAACTTACCATACTGTTACGGTTTAATATTTCATCCGAAAAAAGGTCTATGGGTTTATTGATATGATAGTTACAAAATTGTACTCACATATAAGCCACACTGTAGAATTAAGGTAGGTTTACGATGGGAAGGTCAAAATAGCCGATTTGCCTGAGAAGAAAATTGAATATATTTGCGTCTAAAGTATGGACTGGCTCTGTCATGGATTGAGATTCTAGTAATCAGCATAGCCAATACCGCTTAAGGCAGACAGCGCATTTCGATTTCCCTGCAGCCCAAAAATACGCTGTCAGCAAAGCTTTTTCTAAAACCGCATTCCCTCACTTCTTTGCAAAACCCAAATCTTTGGACAAGCCTAACACAATACTGGTAAAAATATTGCCTTCCAAAAATACTTGATGCGCCCCCAAAAACTTCAGTAGGTTTTCTGAGTTTTAAAATCGACACGAACGTATCCGACAGCCCGCTGACGAGACAATTGGAGCTTCCAATTTTAAAATCATCCTCAACCAAAAACGGTTATGGAAGGTCGATCACCATTTAATTAAAATTTCGCAACAAGACTGTTACCGAACAATTCGTAACAGATAAATCCTTTTAAGTACAAAAAAATACGCCACAATAATTTTAAAAAACCAACAGAGATGAAACAAACCTCGCACGATTAAAAATCACATCTATGGAATCACCGGAAGGACCGCGTAAAGTGAGCGGAAGAATAGAATTTTGTGCAGCAGCTTTGACTAGAGAAGAAGGGGTGAGCAATTGCTCACCATTCAGCAAAATTCGTATGTTACACTCCATCATAACCTATTTACAGACAAAACATCTGAAATAAATGTTAGTAGAAGCACGAAAAAAAACTCAAAGGGCAAGGAGAAAAAAGCGTTGGAAAAGCACATGATGTAGAAGGTGTGATGTGATCATACAGACAAACACAGCAGATTGTACTTTGGTAGTGTTGGTCCGAGGGGGTTGTCAGCAGGTGACCTTGTCGACGAAGATCGATTTCGAAGCGCGCCGTACCAACAAGAAGAAACCGAACGAGTAGCGCAGACGGCAGCTACTTAGCCCGCTGACAGTGTTTTGATATCGCAACGAAATGCTAAGAAGGGGGGCGGTTGAGAAGAGCGGATGAGTAATCTTTTTGACCAAACTCGAACAGTGCTTGTCGCAGACCGGAACACGCGCGTTTCGTCCATTACACTTGCGCTTTCGCATCGATTCTGCCACTCTATCCTTACATTGCACTTCAGCTAGTGCTCTTTGAGCTCGTTCTTAGTGGCTGCACTATGAAGGTCGGCATGGTGCACTATTAGATGGTAAGATATATTGCTCTGACAAAGAGTGAACGCCATAATTGTCGCTACCATATTGACAACAATTTTCCCAATCGAAAACTCCCGCCTAGA